CTTTTATTGGTTTCTCTTGGATCCTATGCTGGCTTATAAAGCATTGTCACTCTAGAAAGCTGATGAAGCAGGAAGCCAGATTTATCTCCTCCTTAATAATCTTGTCCTCGGGAACATTATCTTCTTCATCACTATTGTCATCTACACTTATGTAAAACTATTTCATTAATTTCTACATCTGTTTCTTGTTGAACAGCTGGAGCATCATCCTACAGTTTAACCATCTCATAATGTTTTCCTTGTCTAAATCAATGTCCACATCACTTTGCATTCACTTGGCATAGTAAAGGATATCAGTTGCTTTTGCCTTGCCTTTGTTTGCATTTAAAACCCTCAAGGTTTTCCCTGTATCCTTGTCACCAAAAACATTTAGTGGACACAACCTGTGCCACACATTTTACAAATTTTTCCAGTGATATTAATCCATTAATTTGCCAAACACCAAATCACCAATCAATATGGAAGCACACCTTAAAAAGCACCATACTGCAACTGTTCACAGACATAACAAAAACTGTGCCTATGGCAGTTTTCATTGAATTCATTAGCATGTAGTAGTTTCCATTGATCTGATAACTTTGTGGTTCTTTGGTTGAATTAGTGATGTGCAACTGGAGAGAATATGTTTAGAAGCATAGAAACTACAAGCAAGAGTAGGCCATTTGGCTATCGATGCCTACTCTGCCGTTCCAAATAATTATGGCTGATTCTCTGTCTCAACGCCAAATTCCGGCTGTCTCTCCAAAATACTTGATGTCTTTGATACCTGAAAAAAAAAATCAATCTCTTTCTTGAATGTACTGAGTGACTAAGCCTCCACAGTCTGGGTGATCACACTCTGAGTGAAGAGATATTTGTTCATCTCACTTCTAAATGGCCTACCCGCTATCCTGAGACTGTGACCAGTGCTTCGAGACTCCCCAACCACGGGACCCATATTCTTTGTGTCTGGTCTGTCTAGTTCTTTTAGAATTTCAATCAGAGAAGGATCTTAATTCTCTTAACTAGTGTGAATACAAGCCCAGTTGAACTGATCTCACCTCATAAAACAGTCCTGCCATCCCTGGTATCACTGCAGTAAGACATCCCTACTTCTGAACTCAAATCCTCTTGCAATTAAGGTCAATGTACAATTTGCCTTCCTAATTGCATGCTGCACTTGTCTGTTTACTTGCCTTGACTGGAGTACAAGGACATGCAAATCCCTATGAACATCCATGTTTCCCAATAGATCATCATTTAAATAACACTCTGCCTTTTTGATTTTCAAACTGTTATGTATACCTTTACATTTAGCTACATTATATTGCATCTGCCCACACATTCAACTTGTCTAGATCACCCTGAAGCCTCTTTGCACCCTCCTCATGACCCTACCTAGTTTATGTCATTGGCAAACTTGGAAATATTCCTACGGCTTCCTCATCCAAGTCATTTATGTATGTGTCCTGATTGACTGATCCCTGTGGTACACCACTGGTTACTGTCTACTACCCAGAATAAGACTATTTATTCCAACGGTTTACTTCACTCAACAAGTTCACAATCCATGCCAGTATACTATCCCAATTCCCTGTATTTTCACAGAATCCCTACTGTGTAGAAGCAGACTATTTGACCCATCGAGTCAACACCAACCCTCCAAAGAGCATCCCACCCAGATCCAACCCCTACCCCATCCTTGTAAGCCTGTATTTTCCCATGGCTAATTCCTTCCTGTGGGAGGAAACTGGAGCACCCAGAGGAAACCGACACAGACATGGAGAGAATGTGAAAACCCCAAACAGACATTCGACAATGGCTGGAATTAGACCTGGGTGCCTGGCACTGTGAGGCAGCAATGCTAACCACTGAGCCATTGTGCCACTCATAATTTTGCCTACTCGCCTGTTATGTTGAAGCTTATCAAAAACATTCTCAAAACCCAAATGCAGCACATCAGTTGTTTCTCCCTTATTTATTTTTCTTTTTACATCCTTAAAAAAAACTCCAGTGGATTTGTTAAACATTACTTTTTTTTGTCAAACCCATGTTGACTTTGTCTAATCCCATAAATGGTTTCCAAGTTCTCTGTTATCATTTTTTATAATGGGCTCTGTAATTCCTTGTGTTTTCTCTTCCTTCAATTTTAAACAGTGGGATTACATTTGACCGCCTCTAATCTGTAAGAACAGCTCCAAAGTCTATAAAAGTTTGGATCATTACCATTGATATGTCTGATATTTTCACACCTCTTTCATTTAGTACCCTGGGATGCAGATTATCAGGCCCTGGGGATTTGTCAGACTTTAATTCCATTAATTTCTTGAGCACTTTTTTTCTCCCTAATGCTGATTTTCTTCAATTCAACTCTCTCACTAGATCCTTAGTTCCAAACATTTCTCGAAAATTATTAGTGTTCTCTTTTGTGAAGAAAGAACTAGAATATGTGTTCAATTCTTCTGCCATTTTGGAAATGTAGGGAATAATTTGGCAGCATTTAATTGTTCCACAGTAAATGAGCTGAACAATTGTCCAAAGAACATTACAGTCCACAGCCAGTGCATTGTGCATGAGACTTGGGGTCAAAATAATTATGGAACCAACAGCCCACGATCTACATGTATGTTTGCAGGCCTCATGATTTTTTGTTAATTCCAATGAAAGCACAAGGCTTAATACTTTTG